TTTTTAAGGAAAAAAAAAGAAAAATATATTCAAATTTAAGTGCGAGAGTGTAATTTCCGGTCATCTAGAGATGCCCTAATCATAAATTTTCTTACCTCAGCCCCAACCATGGTGGGGCTGAGGTGGGTGGTTCCTCGGTCTGTGAAAGACCCTCCCTGTTTCACCTCTCTTTCGAATTCCTGGATTTTCCACTGTTGGTTTATTATATAATTATTTTTGCGCTTATTTATAATGCGTCTATTGCAATTTTCACTTTATCCTCTCAAAACATAGTCCTAAGAACGTTCAGAGTGCGCTACTTCACAGGAGGATTTGACCCCGCCGGGGTCATACGTAATTCGTATAACGGCTCCCCCCCCCCCCACTTTCAAAATCCTGGCTACGTCCCTGATACTGCAATTGAATTATATAAGAAAACGCAGTTAGGTCTATTTCACTAATACCTGTCTCTTATACACATCTAGATGTGTATAAGAGACAGCATTAGTGTAGCCGTCTCATTATCCGCTACAGGTATGTCTTAAAAAACACTTACCTTTTGGTCATAGTCTTTAAGAAAGCCCCATCCTTGCTCCCTACAAAACAGAAGCATATTATTTTATGTTATTCTCAAACGCCAACATAAATCGGATCGATAGACCCAATTGTTAGCATTTTCAAAAGTAGGACCTCCCTCCAGTAACCATCCTCCTTCATTAATAATTCCTCATCTTACTCTATTATTTTTAGGAAACATTGGCCTGGTGACCAAATACTACAATACTGCTGCTGCAATTGAATTATATAAGAAAACGCAGTTAGGTCTATTTCACTAATACTGAGTGAGGAAAGATATATATAACAAGGAGGTTATCGTCGGAAAATAATCTCTCTCTTCATTATCACATGTCTTGTTACCACTCGTCTTCATCATTTTTTATTAGAACACAAATCACATCAAAAGTATTAAACATCTCCTGCAAGTATGCAGGAATTTACTGAGCATCATGAATGACCTCTTATGAGACGAAAACGTTTCATCAACCTGAATGATGATGAAACGTATGACGGTTGTCATGCCAACAAAGGAGAATTATATCAGGTTGTCTCCAAGCCATAACCTTTAAGAGCTCTAATAAAAAAAAACGACGACCGTTGCAATATAGCAGAGTGCCGACTGCCGGTGATGAGCTAAAAATCTTCCAAAATTAAAGTTGAGTATTTGAATTGCTTATTGCTTAAAAAATTAAAACGAAAAGAAAAACTTCCTCATCACTTAACAGTCATATTATTTTGATAAACACTTTAAATCGTCTGGTTGGTCTAATCAGTAAGAAATTCTGTGCTCAGATGTCCTTAAATCAGTGAAAACCGCATTAGTTTTATCTGTATTTTATTGGAAGATAATAAGTTATTTTAATTCTTATAAATAAACAATTAGTTTTTCATCATTGAATTTCTGAGAGGTTTCATATATCTCCACAGAAGGTACCTCTTTATGTTAATCATCTTGGTCGTAAAACATAAGTAACGGTTGGGATTTGTTACTATAACAACCACCTGTTTGAACCCCGAAGTAAACATGTTAGCAAGAATTACTTCACGATCATTATATGCTGTAATGTACCGGTATGCAGAGTGGTGTAGCCTGGTGGTTAAGATGACTGTCTTCCAATCCCATATTCATGGGTTCGATTCCTGTGTCGGTGACTGTTGTTTTTTATTTCATATAGGCCTAGGCCCTATAATGACTCATAATCTTCTATTATTATTATTTGAATACAATATGATGCTTAATTTTGAGATCCCAATCTTCAAGCACCACATCAAGGAAGAGCAGGGGAGGCTTCAGAGGGGGCGGGCTGGCCCCACCCACTCCCCCTTTGGAAATATAAAAAAAAGAAGTTATCTCCCAAAAGGATTCAGAGGTTATTTTCATCAAATGAATTAGCAAAATTCAGTTTTATTTCCCATTTTTGCTAGGCTTAATACTTAAGTAAATGTTATTAACTTTAAGAATTGTGTATGCATCAGCTTGTGATACCTCGGGGACTCTTGAAACAGGGCATTAGTGTGTGAAAGCAATTGTGTCGTGCCAGCTAAAACGTTTACCACATGTCGGCTTCTATTTTGCCCAATTATCCCAGTAGGCCATAACATCTTACAACTGTGGCTTTCTTTTTAGTTAGTTTCGATGCAGAGAAACTGCATTGGAAAATAGTTCTTTCCCGGCATTCTTTAAGACTTAGGCCACCTTCTATATTTGAAATACAATTATTAAATTCTAGAATTTAGATACGCGCCGCAGGCCTAAACCAACTTATGAGTCGAAAATAATGTAGAGTACAGTACATATAAATTGGTTCCGCATTATTTTGAACATTAAAAAATCTTACAAAATATCTACATTAGCCTTTCAGCATGAAGGTACCACTAGCGAGGGGATGGTCTTGAACGAGGCTTAGGTTGAATTTTCGTGTTTAAGCGTTTTTAAACGTTGAATAGGCCTCTTATCGAACACTCCATTATAAAATGTTTGATTCGTATCGTAGAATGATTCCCTGGAGGTTTACCTGGCGTTGAGTTCGAATCCCGAGGAGACAATAGGCTATCCTATTTGTACATTCACCTGATGAAGACCACTGCGTGGTCGAAAGCTTGTGGGAAAATAAATTTGTTAGTCTGAAAAGTGTTGTTTGTCTTTCGTTTACTATTTTATCATAGTATGAAAGAAAGGTATAGAAATAATATTTTATACTTACCTGGTTTGATGTCATGTCGACCTGTAGGTTTTTATCATCATTGTACAGTAGGCCCTACTAATAATCTCTATGGTTTATAGTCCTATAACTTTATCAAATCATAGTTCGTTTTCTGTCAGTGGTTACAGTGATTGTATTTTAATAAGGACTGTTGTCACGTTACACTTCCGTACGTGGTTACTTACAGTATTATTATCAGTAAGGAGCTTCATAAGTAAGTACTTACCATTTCCTAACTGCGTTCTGTTCTCGTCCGACCGTTTCCCTCCATATTTTGTCGTGGTTAACTACATGACTTTTCTCGTATTCAGCTTTGGTTAAGATCTTCGATGGTGGAGCGGAAGAACATCTCTCCTTTGGCACACAAGATCCGTGGTAGGCGCTAGAGGCACGGGAAGAAATGGGGAAACGATAACCTGCAGAAGTGGCTCTATCTACTGTTCTAATGTTAGACATTGTTGAGTTACTGTGCACGATATCTATAGACCAGGCCTAGTCAAACTCTGTAACAATATAGAAAGCCAGCAATAATCCCTCGCTATTCATTTAAGTATGACAACCGCAAGTGGTGACGAGCGTTTTTCAAGTACAGTACTGTAGAACACAAACTTCATCGGGGTCATCAATGCGATCCTAATATATTTTATCAGCGTTACTAGCCTTGAACAAATTACATTGCCGTGACAAAATATCGATTTTCGTTAACTTTTCCGTCCGCGATAATAATAGACCTTTGTAGCCTAAACACTGACGGAATATAAAATCACATCATTTTTATCGAAAAAAGCAAAACGTTAAAACGGCATGAGAAAATTATCAGCAACTCATTCTAATCGATGCCCAGCTCTAATAGTAATATCCACTAGAATATTTAGGATAGTCCCATTGTCCATTTCTGAAAAGGTACTGAACAGGTGGGTGATTCTTTTATTAACCAGCAAAGTGTATATTCCCGTTGCTACGGGAGACCAACACCGACATGCGCACTATTTACCATAGGCGGCGCTAGCGGGGGTTCCGGGGAGGGGAGCAAAGGATCCCCGTCGGGGGTCGGGGACCCCTGGTCCCTCGCTTGGATCCCCTGTCGGGGAATTTCCAGCAAGTTCGTTGGGGAAAAATTTAAAAAAATAATCCCATATTAACACTATATACGGTAATTAATTTATTATCTTTTAATTTTAAAAAAATCCCGACAGACCTAATTTTTCCCCGACGGTGGGAGGGGGAGGGGCGTGGACCCCCTTGTCAGGGAGTTTGGAATTCCTGGCACCACCCCTGCAATTCACTCTCTTCCTTTTACAGGAACTTCGTGTGTCGATGAATAACTGCTGCTTCTTTTTTTAGAAAGGAAAAGACATAGGATTTAAAAAAAAAAAATCAAATTCAATAGGATAATCTCATCTACTACGATATCATTAATTTTGTAATATACATTGATTAATTAATCGATATCAAACGAGATATTACGACATTATTATTATTATTATTATTAGTAGTAGTAGTAGTATTAATTTGTTAGTTAATAGTATTATATATAATATATTCTAGTAGGCCTATTGTTATTTTAAAATTAGTATATAATTATCATTATGTCTGCGAAGAAAACGATTTCTCTAAATGATTATGTGATCGAAGATATTTTTTTTTAAATTGTTTTATTTCCTTCACATCTAGCTGCAGGCTCACTCGCCACTGACAGGATGGAACGATGCTTTATAAACGAAGTCTCTTCATGAGGCTTAGGGAGTAGATTTGTTTTTGGCTGTGAGAAAATTTCCTGCTGTGACAAGAATTGAACCCAGAACCCAGGGATTAGAAGGCAAGCATCTTAACCACTAAGCTATTCAACTCTACTGCATGTTAAACAATTAAATAAATATGTAATAGTCCTTTATGATATACCGTATGTAATAACAAGATATAGGGGTAGGCCTATGATATGATTATAATATGGTAGGATATGATGATTTGATATAAACATAACATTGCTTTAAATTAAATTACTTAAAACGAAATATATATCATATCATACCATGTCTTATAAATTATATCATCTTGTATCGTGTCGTTCATATTCTATTAATTATACTATATTGCTAGTACATCTATAATATAAAATTATAAGCTAAATTACCCTTATATGATCATTACAAAACAATAAATAAAAGATATATCAATATAAGCAACAAAATATATTACTTTAACACAAAATTTATGTGACTGTTAATCCCTTTCATGTCACCTACACTTGGTTTACTATCTTATATTTATTTTTGTTCACTTGATCTTGAGAATGCGTCCATGATGGACACGAAACGTCGATCCTTTTTGTCAATAAATTTTGTGTTAAAGTTATATGGTAAACGTCTGTTGATTCGTAAAATATATTACGATATTTTTTATCGTTGACACCAGTTTCATTATTTGTCACTCGCAAATTTGCCATTTAAGGAGTGTATCATTTTCATCTACTGTACATACATTGCGGTTGAGGCTTACAGGTATCAGGAAACAGTTCCCTGGGCCTAAATGGCCTTATCGTCCTACTACCGACCGATGCTACTAAAATACTACCGACCGATGCTACTAAAACGCTGATTAAAAAAAAAAAAAAAAAAAAAAAAAAAAAAAAACTGTTTCAACTTACTTTTGTTCAGCGTTGGTGTTATTATCGGAAATTTCCATGCTGTTGTTTACGCACTTAACTTCTATTCATGCCTTTAAACGTTTGTATATTAATTATTTAGTATGATGATTCTTCGACTTTTTGTTATCCAATATTCAGATTATCTTCACCTTTATTGTTTATTAAATTGTTATCTAGGTAGCTTCAATCAGCGCTATTATACTCAGCTCCCAACTGCACCAAAACTTACGTGCGTTCACGATCGTATTGCTACTGATCCGGTCTACTCGCGTTCCAAGAGGCAATTACATTGGATAATGGTTCAGATAAATCAAGAATATCCTTCGCCAAGACTTGAATCTGAAAATTGATCTTTTTTCGAGAGCAGGTGTTTTATTACCGTCCATGAATTAATAAGAATTTGATTACCTGTCTCTGAAATGGGGCGTTGTTTCGTCACGATGTTCTGTTAATTGATTAGTCATTTTGTGGAATATTAACGTGATTAGCTAATGAATAATTTAGCATGGTGTTATAACAACAGTAGTTGTAAAAAAAATAAATATCGATATGCTGAAGGCCTTATAAACAAGCTTCATATTTTCATGATCCAATCCCTCTAATAGGCCTATTTACCATCTATTTTCTTGTTATACCTACAAACAACATTGGTCTTTATAATAATAATGATAATAATACTGTAATAATAATAATTTTATTATTATTATAATTATTATACTATTTATAACTTCGATGTTGTTATTAATTTGTTATTGTTTACTTATATTTGATATTATTTGTAATACTTATGTTTTGTTCATTTATATATGCCTTTATCATATTTAATTAGGCCTATTGCTACTATTATCAAGTAAAAATTGTTAAGTTAAAAATAATGATTGTATCAATAAATACATCTATCATCATCTGTAGGACTACATGAAATGAATATTTTACGAGCTCGTAATTTTCTATTTATTAATTTACATACCGTACTGTACCTGGGTCTTGAACATCAAAGAGAGGCCTAATCACTATTCATAATTCAAACAAAAATACCTTTACGGCAAGTGTATGGTAAAGTATTTAGTTTGTCTTATCATGCCATGAGTAAGGTATACCTCAAAGCAGGTGGCTTAACGGATATAGCGCTCACTGGCTAAACCAGATATGTATCGGCATTTTTTACATTGGCCGAGTGGGTCTTTAATAGGATCAAAAACGTGTAAAAAACCTACTTTACAACGTCAAATACGCCGAAGTGAGCCGACCTTTTCCCCAAGTAGTCCCTCGAGGAATCCTTAGTCAGCAGCCTCAGACCTCTATTGCTCAAAGCTGAGCTACCGACAGGGGTGCCACCACCAGATGTGTGGGCCTGGGCTGGGGAGTAATAGTGAAATCTGGGGTGAGGTGGGTGTGGACTCTGGCCTCCCCATCGGAGAACGATTGACCATCTGCTGTGGAAATGCTGCGCCACCTCCCCTGCTCAGATGGGATTAAAAAAAAAAAAAAAAAACCAAAAAAAAAAAACAAAAACTTGGATCACTTTTGCCTACCTCGGCTTTGTACTGTCAAAGTATGAAAATCCAGACTTCGCCATGTCTCATCATGTAGGACCTACGATAAAAAGTAATTGAATTTTGAATCTGCAATTTTTGTTATTAAAGAATCAATAAAATTAATAATAATTCTGTCATAGTAAATTAGGCCTAAACTAATCAATTTCTTAATTCTGAGGTTATCTCAATCTGTCGATGGAAGTTATCTAAAAGCAAACGTGTTATTACTTACGCAATCCTTTTAATAATTGGTCTCACGTGATTGAGAACATACAATATATTATTAACTAACCAATAATCGTTAGCAATTAGTTCACCAATAATTATAATATCTAGCACGATCTCCTTGGAACCATAAATGCACTGATGGCAACAAAGAAATGAATCTACATTTTATGTGCCTTGCTGACACATCTCTTCGAGTAACATAACCTCGGTACCACTTGTCATCTTTTCAGTTTAATATTTACCGTACCATTAAGAAGAACAGCTTCGAATATTAATCTCTCTTGTAGAGTGCGAATCAACCTTCTGATATGGTTAATGAATAGAGCCTAAGAACATCTCAATTGTTCATCTTTGTATTTGTTTGCAGTGAATCAACATATTTGTGTGGATTCGAGCAGTCGTCCTAGTGATATCACGTAAGCTTGTATTCTAAGTCCACATAAAGCATCCATGCGCATTTATTACATTAGCTGAAAATTATGGCCATAAAATATCTTTATTTATTCATTCATTTATTTCAACCAAGTTGAAGTTGGTGCCGTTGAGTCTTGTTGCCATAGCATACTGCTGAACAACATTGTGTAATTTCTATTTTCCATGAAGTAAAAACAAATTTGAACTGAATGTTTTTTTTTATATTTATTTGTTTTAATTTGGTTTTTTTTATAGTCATATTTAGAAAGCAACCTTTCCAGCGTCGCTTCCTACGTCGGCTGATAATATTCAGGGGCTCTTAAATAAATGTAGGCCTAATAATGTGATGCTATTATCAGCGAAGTCTCTTTACGAGGCTTTTTATGGAGTCGGGTTGTTTTTAGTCATGAGAAAAAGTCCGGCTGTCACAGGAATTGAACCCAGGACTCAGGCAAGCATCTTAACTAACCCGTAACCACTAAACTATTCAACTCCACTCCAAATTATCAACAAGCATAAGGCAGGCCTATTAACTCTACTAAAAATATACGCTCATCCGTATGTTCTGATAAGTTTAGGCTAATGTGAAACACGGCGGTCAATAACTTACCTAGGAAGTTCGAAATATTCTTATTAAAATGTTCATGTTCCAAGATTCAGGGTGACTATAGGCCTATTATTAGTATTGACATATTGATCTCTATAAAAGGAATGTTTAAAAACAGTCAACAACTGTCGACGTCCGCCAGAATATCAGATCCGTACACCATGGCTGGTGGCCCGGTGACGTGTATGACATTCATTTAATTTTTTTTTCCATAGGGACTATATGGCTGATTTCCCAGCAATCAAGCAATCAATCAATCATTTATTCAATCAATTAATTAATAAATTATTCAATCACCTCTTATTGTATTCCGGCCTGTTTTGTTTGGATTTTTTACCCGGTAATTTGCCGTTTTGATATTGACGAATTCATATAGTGGTCAAGCCTTGTTAAATATAGGCCTAATGTATAGGCCTAATTATGGGGAAAGAAGAAGCAGGCATATGGCAGGGAAAAGGGAGAAAAGCAGATTGTCAATGTCGTCAATCTCCGTGAAGCAGGGACGTAGCCAGGATTTTGAAAGTGGGGGAGCCGTTATGCGAATTACGTAGGACCCCGGCGGCGGGGTCAAGGGGGAGCATTCCCCTGTGAGGTAGCGCACTCTAAACGTTCTTAGGACTGTTTGAGAGGATAAAGTGAAAATTGCAATAAACGCATTATAAATAAAAATAATTATATAATAAATCAACAGTGGCTGATCCAGGAATTCGAAAGAGAGGTGAACCAGGGAGGGACTTTCACAGACCGAGGAACCACCCACCTCAGTCCCACCATGGTTGGGGCTGAGGCAAGAAAATTTATGATTATGGCATCTCTAGATGGCCAGAAATTACACTCGCACTTTAATTTGAATATATTTTTTTCCCATAGAAAAAAATGAAGGGGGGGGGGCGCCTCTACTCAAAACATTCTTTATCCAGAATAGTCATAATCACGAAAAATAGACATGAAAAACCAGATCATATCCTAAAAACAAACAGCAGTCACTAAGACATACATCAGGCCGACTCGATGGAGTTCAATGTCATACCCAGGGAAGGGCACAGATCTGCTTTGAAAGGTGGAGGGGAATGGCATTTTGTGAGTTGACACCCACCTCAGACTCACCATGGTTGGAGCTGAGGTGAGAAAACTTGAGGAAATATCACATATGGCCAGAAATGACACTTTTAGTCAAATTCATAATCATCACATCACCATTAGTCAAAATGAAGCGCCACAAAATAAAAAGATCTTTTATCAGAGATTTATTCATTTTGAGTGATCCCAGAATTTGTATTGGCTCAAGAATAAGCTTTATAATTTTAACACTGTGTACATTTGAAGGCGGATACACATCTAGATGTGTATAAGAGAGGGGGAAGCCGCGGCTCCCACGGATACGTCCCTGTCGTCTGGATACGTCCCTGCCGTGAAGAAGTTTTTGAGTCGCGTGATGCATTCATCTGCGCCGCCATGTCCGGGGAAGCGACGTGTCCAGGAACCAGAACCTGTGGACGTGTGCATTCAAGCATTCAGTTTAGCACTGGTTATCACTTCCGGTTTCCATCTCTTCCCGTTCGTTCGTTTGTTTACCAACTGCTTTTGGGATAGGCCTAGGCCTAGCTCTCTCTAATTTTGTCATTCTCGTATTTTTTCTGTATGGATTTCAAATATGAATACGGACGATCTTTATGAAAAAGCTAAGATTCTTTCAGCTGAGGGTAAAAACCAAGAGGCACAGGATATGTATACAAAAACGATCGAACTAATCCTAGGCCGACTGTCGGATGGTGATGGTTCCACATCTAGGCCTACTAGGTTAGTCGGTGTACGGTAAGAATGGCCCCGGAAAAAATGGCCCAGGAAAAAATGGCCCCGGAAAAAATGGCCCCGGTAAAAATAGCCCCAAATGACAGGTAGGTAAAAATGGCCCCAATAATAAAATTCTGTATTAAAACTGATTTTTTAACAATCATTATATGCATTTTTTAAAACTGAAATAATTTAGTTTTTAAAAGGAATCTAACATCAAATAAATTGCCATTTACATTTTACTTTTTGCAGAAATTACATATTCAATGACAAAATATTCAAAGATAAAAAAAAAAGCCATGAATAACACTTTTTATTTTTTTTCCATTTAAATGTTAAAAAATAGCAACAACATAATCATTAAATCAACATAAATCATGCATTTATTAATACTAAAATAATTTATTTGTGGCCAATTTCAAGGAAGCGGAATCACAATTTCTTATAAATATTTAATTTTCCTATTGATATACCAAGGGAGTCAATCACAATTGAATTGTTTGGTTTTCTAGTGTGTTTTAAAAAAAGATTTAAAAAAAAATCATTTCTATTACTGAATTTTTTCATTGGGGCCATTTTTACCTACTTGTCATTTGGGGTCATTTTTACTGGGGCCATTTTTTCCGGGGCAATTTCTTCCGGGGCCATTCTTACCTACATTCAGGTTAGTCAACCCCATTCGTTTCGGCTCGTGGACTCACGCATTCCATTATGGGTGGTACCTTTCATTTTTCAGCCGATTAATAAAAACATAATAAAATGTTATACTTCGGTAGTTCAATAATGATGTCATGTATAGCTTATTTCTGACCAACTATTTAATTATGTACCGGTTGCATTTAAAAATAAAGTGTTTGGAGCCGCATTCTTAAATTATCGCGAAAATGTTTTATTTTAAAAAAAAATGATTTAATAGGCCCTACAAGAATTTTGTTAATTTGTGTCACCCTGGGCATTGATATAATTATAACTTTCATTTGATCTTTTTATTAAATGAGCATTTCAGAATTTTAAATTTTTTCTAGATATTATTATTATAAAGCAATGTTTTTTTTGATCATGGAAGTTATCCCCAAAATTGTTAATAAAGCATATCCTTTTGTTGATATAGATTTCATTTATTTCTTTTTTGAATGTTAGAATCAATATTTTAGTAGGCCTATTAAAATATTTGACATACAGTACAGTGTATTAATATACTGTATTAATATAGTGTACAATTGAAGATATAACAGAGTATGCTGTTGTATCTCAAATGTGCATTTTTGTGTTTTGTTAAAATACATGTTTCTATTTATTTTCTATACCTTAAGGAATGACATGTTGTCCTTAGCATACAATAACAGGGGACACCTTCGTTACCTCCGAGTGGATTTTGATGAAGCAGTTGATGACTACACAGAGGCCATCAAGATTAATGAAGGATTAGCTATTGCATATTATAACAGAGGACAGATTCACTATCGTTTAGGTATTGATCAAACACATATATTTACATAATTATGTCTTTTAGGTCTTATTTTTATTATTCTTTATTGGCAATCCAGACATCTAGATGGAAGGGCCAGGTTTCTCAGTAAACGTTAATTATAACATACTATATGTCAGAGAACCACTCCCATCCAGTAATTACAAACAGTTATATATCATTAAAATTGAATATATACATATTGGACTCAAGATGCTCTTTCTAAAGTACTGTCCATACTATCAAATTTTCTTTGACCAAAGACTGTTGTATGCCCATATATAGTCATGATGTGCCTATATATGGTCATGATGTGATGTCATCATGACCATATTTAGGCATTTTACATAATTTTGTCAAGTAAAATTTGATAGTCTGGACAGGGTCTAACATTTCTGCATCTATTTTCTATGCTTTTCTTAAGCTTTGTCTACACTATCAGATTTTATGTGACAAAAAAAATGTGATGTGCCCATATATGGGTACGATGACAACATATCACATATTATCAAATTGTATCAAAAAAAGTTGAACGTGTTCAACTCTTATGTTCCATCACATTTTAAGTGACGCTTTTTTGATGAAATTTGATAGTGTAAACAAAGCAATACAATACAGTACAATAATCCTTTATTTTAAGCAAGTAATATAAATAATTTAAAAAATTGCAAAAATGAAAGAAAGCAAAAACTTTTACTTTTTTTTTACTTGTACAATAAGTTCTTAACGTATGGCCATAAAAATGATAATTGTAATATTTCATTCTCTTCCAAACATTTATTAGCTGTGATTAAATTTGATGACTAATTTCTTATGAAAATTGTATATATTTTCATCCCATTAAGCAATGCTTTATCATAAACTCTTAGTAATTTTTGTATTTAATACCTTTTGCATGTGTATTACATTGTGCTTTGTTTTGTGAATGTTGTTGTTTGTTTCAGCTTATCTTTGTTAGTTAGTTTGACTCAATGCTGTCTACAAAACTGCAATGTCAAATGTTGTTTTAATAATAAACCAACATGAAATGAAATGAAACATTTTAATTAGCATAATTATAAAATGACTATTTTTCATCATAATTTTTTTTCGTTTTGCAGCAAGATTTGAGTTAGGAATTGCTGATTTTGAAAAATGCTTAGAACTACAGCCATCTTTTCATGAAGCAGAATTAGCATTAAAAACTGCAAAACAAGACAAACTTGAGAGGGATATGAAAACAAGTCCTGGCGAAGTGGTTACATGATGATATTTGAAAATTATTTATTTAATTATATTTTATATAATGAAATCTACCGTACCTTTTATATTAAAACCACAAGAAGCAATTAAGAGTATAACGGACGTGCTATAATCACACCTTTTACTTTAGCTTATAATTACTTGGTCTATTTAATAGGATCAAGCATAATGTAGGCCTAATTGTTAAATATGTTTGATTAATCGATCATTTGTTTGATTGATTGATTGATTGATTAATTTCCAATTAAACTCTTAGTAGTCTTAAAAATTTGTGTCACTAGTAGCTAATTTTTAAGTTACGTTTTGCAGTAACATAATAAAAGATACTATTCATGAGTATAAAGAGTGCAATACAGACCAAAGATTTCGACACTTATTAACACCAGGAACAGTGAGAAATGCTGTTTGTTTAAGCCGCCCTCTACAGTATTAACGATTATTTTACTCAGTTGAAATTCTTCATGAGGGCTTACTCTTAATGCTCTCGTATACTACATACGGTACTACTAATAGTAGAACCACGTTTTGCCAAATTAATTTCTTAACAAATGTAATGTTTGGTATCGCTATATATATATTTTTTTAAATTACCAAACCTTTTTAACATTTGGTGTTTTCCGGAGAGTAGGTGCAGTTTGTGTATCCTGATGTTTTTTTGTTTTTGTTTGTTTGTTTGTTTTTTACAGTAACAGATTTTATAGACAACGTAAAATGTTATGTATGTATAATCAACCAAAGTTTCGAAGCATGTTTATATTATTACTTGAAGTTGATCAATAAATAAATGTTGAATCTCGAAGGTGACTTGCAGTCCCATCATAATTTCTGCTGTCTGAGGTGCGAATAGGCCCTACTGGTGGTTTCTGATATAAATTCAAAATTCAACACGCACTTCTCATAATTGTGCAATGCATTGGAAATCGCATTTTTGGCTATTTATAGGCCTAAGGATCATAAAAACGTTTCAATCAAGACTTTCTTTTCATGAAGCAGAATTAGCATTAAAAACTGCAAAACAAGACAAACTTGAGAGGGATATGAAAACAAGTCCTGGCGAAGTAGTTACATGATGATATTTGAAAATTATTTATTTAATTATACTCAAATAGAGACAAATTGCATTTTCCAGACATCTAAACAGAAAACACTAATATTCGCCACGAAGCCCCAACTGTGAATTACAGGTCACGACCCTTCGCAGATTTCATTTTCTTGAGTTAGAATTGAATAACCTAGGCTTAGCAAGATTTTCAGTGCCCCATAAAATGGCATTAGTCGCTCATCGTCATTCTAGTTTGGAGACCCTGAATCAGGAGGGGGAGGGGCAGGGTCTGATCAAGAGATGTCGCAAAGGGGGAGGGGTGATGGAGAGAAAAAAATTACCTTAACTAGGGATCCGGGGAAATTTTTGTTTTCTGAAGCATGGAAATAACCTCTGAGGCGTTGTGTGCGATCAATAATTTCTTTTTCTTTCCCCAAACCCTCCCCCCCCCCACCTTTTCTTTTTTACTTTCCAAAAGGAACCCCTAAATCCGCTCCTGGGGGATCTTGAAGAGCAGTAGAATATTATGTGTGGGAGGAACACTTGGTGCTTTGCAGAGTGACGAATAAAAGAAAACGTCACAATGGGTACGGAATGAAGAGAACCACTGATGTGTTGAACAAAACAAGTAAACGACTTGAGGGACGCCATTCTCTCTGTACAACTTTTTAAGCCGTATAATATGGATTGTTTGCTTTGAAATTAAGGAATGCATTCCAGTTATAACGTCTTTGAACGTTTAGGCTTCCGAGAGTGGATTTTCATGATAAAGCAGGGCATCAATTCATAAGTCACGAAAATAAATGTGTTTTATGAATCAATTTGATATAACGGTTAACCTGAGGTTAGACAACTGTTCCTGTTTTCGACGTCCCTCTGTAGTTCATGCATATAATCTAAAAAATGTCCAGGTTTTCAACCATAATAACTCGTTCTATGTAACATGTACTATAACCTAACCTATATCTGACATTTTTAATTTATAGGCTATAGGCCCCCTAGGCACGAGAAATATATCTTAGCAATAAGCAATCTCGGTTAGTAGACACATGAACAACGTCGTTGCCTGTCGGCTAATGCATAAGGCTTAATAACACACTTGTTACACTGCTAGTGATATCATAGGCCTATATTCGGCTGATTAGCCCTTTCGTTTATCTTTATTTTCTTTGTTGTTACCGCCCTTTATAATCCGGCCTAATTATACATATCATTTAAGATTTATCTTAGTCACTTAATTTATTTTAAAAATCCTCCACCCCTTCTCTCTTTGCACTATACAGTTACGTTTTAATACCACTCTCTTTTATTATAACCCAAATCTACACACGCTATTTAATATTATGAATGAAGAATTGCTAAAATTTGGTGACTGGTTCATTGCCAATAAACTCTTTATTAATACTCTCAAAGCAAATTACATTATTTTTCATAATGTTCATAAAAAGCCAACTCTTCAAAATGTTAATATATGTTTCCGAGGTACTTATATTGAACGCAAAAGCGAGACACTCTCTCTTGGGCTCTACATCCAGGAAAATCTAAAATGGACCACTCATCAAAATTACATTAATAACAAAATATCCAAATCTATTAGCATAATAAATAAATTAAAATTGTTCTTTCCATTAAACATTTTAACTTCACTTTATAACACCCTTGTGCTCCCATACCTTCAATATTGTAACACAGTTTGGGCATCTGATTATTATTATCTGATTATCGTTCTAATCTTACACTCTCCTGAAACTACAAAAACTTGCTTTAAGGGTCATCACTAATTCACACTACTTAGCACTTTCAGAGCCACTTTTTAAAAAGCTTCAGCTACTCAAAATTTATGATTTGCATAAATTGCAAATGTATAAGCTGTTTAAAGGCACACTTCCAAAAACCATTAACATAATGTTCAGTAGCAACAGCTATACCACTCAATATAATTTAAGAAATACTGGCAGGCTATACATTCCATTTGTAAGGCTCAATAAAAGTCAATTGTTTGTGACGGTTGCAGGACCACGGTTGTGGAATAACCTCCAAATTGACCCTACCAATTTTACTAGCCTTTCATCTTTTAAAATAAATCTAAAATTATATTATCTAAGTCTGTACCTAAATTCAGTTCATTTCTGCACTTTTTATTTATTTATCTTGTTTATCTATTTATTTATTTATTTATTTTTTCTATTTTTTTCCTTTTTTTTTTCTTTTTCCTTTTTCTTTTTTACGGATCCTCTCGAGACAAGGTTTTCCTTCTGGACTGGGATCCTTACAACAGTTTATATCTTTATGTATGATATATATTTTTTCAATATGTATTAATTTGTGCTGTTGTAGAATAAAAGGTGCTTGCACCACTGATGAATAATGATCCAGTTAAATATCATGGAGAAGCTTTTACGTAGTCTTTTACATATTTTTCATTCTCTCCTTCTCCCGACATTTTCTATCCCCTTTGAGCCAATAATCATTTTTATCCTTTGGCAGCCACCTCACTCCAATCCCAAGATAGGCTTCGTTTCGGATTGATCGTTGAAGTCTTCTTGAAAATTCGCAGTGTCAAACAATTGGAATTAAACGATATAGGCTAGGCCTTGCCTATTACAGGCCTGCATCTTGCTATTAAAAGATAGCCTTTGTCGTGCTAGTTGAGAACGAAATTACTACATGAGTGCTTTTAAATGCATTCATGTCAATAAATTCGAACAAGAACGTCCATCTTCGGTTAAAAAATTACCGTATCATCGTATTCGAATAAAGGCCCCGGGGCGTTTATTGTTGAGAAGGGATTTAATGGGCGTTTATTTGAGGGAGGCGTTTAATTTTTTTGGTGCACCGCATATACTCAACAAGTAAACATCCCTTAATTTCACTGTGTAAATGTGGAACTATACAACATTACAGCAGTACCGGCAAAATGTGTTGAAGACTCATTGACCCCTACCAGGTTAGATTCGTTTATTCCAAATGAGGCTCAGGGAGTGTAGGCCTATTCCAGATGTTTATTCAAAGCGGGCGTTTATTCGAATAAATACGGGTATATTTTGCTTGTTATTGTTTTCAAAACGGATTCCGTATTAGTAAGCCTAATCGATTTATTTTATTTTGATTATTTTATCAAACAATATTCCGTGAGGGTAGTCTATTTCCTGTATTCTCAAAGATGTAATATACAATCATTACGGTACTTAATCCCACCGCCTTCACTTCATGGGCCCACGCACTTTTTTTTATATATATATAAATGTAGGTAGATTTAAGCCTAGTACAAAAAAAAGTTGGCGTAGGCTATTAAAGACAAAAGAATAAAAGCTGAAAATTAAACTAGATCTCTAACAAAGTAATCAATAAATTTAAAACAGAAAACGGTACCGTATGATCAGAAAATTTGTATAAAATAATGATTTAAGGAAAACATTAAAAATAATAATTAACAAAACGAAAAATAAAAGTAAAGTTTACACATTAAAGAAACATAAAAATAATTAAAATAATAAAATAATCAAGAGAATTAAAGGACACAATTAAAGACATTGACACAATTTGAAAAAAAAAATATCAATGAGTTAAAGGGGAAAAAGAAAAGAAGCCAAATAAGAAGAAAATAATTAATTAAAACTAACATAAATAATCTTGAAATATACAGATTTATAATAGACAAAAGTGATTAACCTTGATAAATCAACCATTCAAAGCAAAATCGGGATTTTAAAAATATTTTACAAAAAGAAAGGGCCACAGGGAATATTACACATAAATGGTAACTCAAAAGGATAGATTTGAAAGAAAATTAATAAACTCCTAGAGTCATATAAACTATATTGCCATAAAACATAGCAATAACTTTGTTTGTGTTTAATGTAACCATTTGCTCAACTGGTGTCCGAACGAATATAGATTCATCATACAAAAAAAGTTTACCAAGTGGACGGTATACAGGCATTTAGGCCTCAGTTGATAAACTTTTACTATGTATTTTATTTTAATAAACAATTTTTAAAAAATAGTAAAATGTGAGGGTTATTAGTCATGTGTTGCCTAAATTTCGGTTTATTGTGAAATCGACGGCGGAAGTATAAAATGGGGATCATGTTCATAGATAGCATGTCCAGTAAATGCACAATTATTTTTTAAAATAGCATGAGACACTTAACTAAACGGTTATAAATATAACCATATACTCATCGATTTTTATAGTCCAAAATAATTACAATAAGTATTTTTTTAAACTATTATATTTCATTTTTTTCGATCAAAGTGTCTATGGCTTATCCGTCACCACACATCCGGAGCAAGTTGAAACTTTTACCAAAGTGGCTTTTACCGGTGACGTCATAAGCCAATAAGCAATGTCCTTGACACATACAATCCATGAAATAAAATAGTTCAGAAAATATCTTAATTTTTGACTAATGTTTATGAAGAGAATCGGCAATTTCTGTATGCTTGTTACAGTATAAAATATTTTTTTATACTTTGATATATACTGTTGTTTGATTGTACGATATTAAACAAGATTTTGATTGGTTTTAGCGGTTGTATAGAGTGTCCGTGAGTTGTGAACTCTAGATTCATCCGCTAATTGTTCCCGTTGTTTGTGTGGATCAGGAATTTCTCGGGAGCTAGTTGACAAGTATTCGCATAACAATCGAAGGGAACGGCTATTTAGAAGAGAATCGATTATTTAATTTCGTTGGTTATTGGACTTCTACCGACCTAAATTGAGACTAAATAGGAAGTATAAGTATCGGTGGTTGATAACATTTAACTTTGGATTTATTCCTGAAGGGATCTTACTGAAAATCAACGTAGGATGAGGTTGTGCCTTTGTGTGTGCTTGTTGGCGCTTCTTAGCCTCGACGAGGTAATTATTCCTTGAAAGGATTGAACAGTCCCCTGCCGATAGGCTTGGTTGGCCGTTTCAATCGAAATCTCGAATTGAATCGAATATTTGATACATGTTTTGAAAATAATGTAATGTAATGTATAATATAGGCCTAGGCCTATGTCTATCATGTCTATTGCTTATAAAGTCATCATTTTAATAGTTTTGCGTCCGGGATTATATGGTTTGTCATTGTTGTGTAACTTTATTAATATTTATATACTGATTTATCGAAAACGTTTTCTCTCGTTTTGTTGGTTAGCCTAAGTATGTAATCCTCTACCTAGGCCTAGACCAGAGCCTAGGGTAGGCTATGCATGAGTAGGCTAGGCCAGGCCGCGTTGATAAATAGGCACCAAGATAGGGCTAGGCCTAGAAGACCTAGACCTGTAGTATCTACTGTATGATAAAGAATGCCAATGATCAAATTATGCAGTTGGGGTTTTGTAACACGGTTTGTCCGTAAAATTCTTCTCTGGACATTTCGTGACTTGCAATCTTGGTTATGAAATTTAGGTACAGTATGTGACTATCAGCCGTTGCGAGCGCCATATCGTGGCACCGCTATAATTTTTTCCAGCGACTCGACTGTTGCAACAGCCCTCTATTGTTTTCGCTGCAGAGGTCGTATTTAATTTTTCCTTGTGACCCGAAAATAGTTATGACGTAGTTCACATGTTCCTCTTTCACCTAGTCATCAAATCAGTTTTTTCCGAATTCGGGAAGTGAGTGAATTTATTGCCGAAATTTTGAGTTGTCAAAAACATTCAATTTTTTTTAAAGAAGTTAAGTTTATTTTGTTCTGAAACCAGTTTATTGTGTTAGTTTATATTTATCTACAACTGGGTGTAATATTTAGATACTGTAAAACCATAAACTTTCGCGGAACAAAACTTTCGCGAATTGATAATTTCGGCCATTTTCGCGACATTAAACTTTCGCAAATCGCAAAAGGCCTAAATTGTATTCATGAGAGGAATACCATATAATATCTGAAAATATCGTATTGTGAGTTCTAGGTTTAGGCCAACAGCCACTGTCTAGACTACAATAGCTAGGCCTAGGCTAGGCACCATAAGCCTACAGCCAACCTCAGCTGGTAGGACCAGGATTTACTGTAGCTGGCCATCCCAGGCACAGTTAAGAAAGACACAAGTTTACATATATTACAATATACTGTACTCACTCATACGATATTCCTAAATTTTGTATGGTATTCAAATTTCAAGCATCCTACAATGACCAATATTTATTCCTGTAGGCCTAATATTGATTCAAATACATTGATTAATGATGACTGAGCATTGTGGTATGTCAAGGTACGAAAATTAGTTCCTGTTTTAACTTCTAAGTATACACTGCGTAGTGGTTTCACATGTGCAATCACATGCAGTCAGAATCTCCCTGATCAGTATACTTACTGAGTAGGTTAGAATAAGCCTAGAATTTACAAATTGTTTGAGCTCAACATCTGAAATTAAGGTCAGAATATTAATTCAATAACTGAAATACATTCTATTGAGTTTATACACATTCAATAAAATCCAAAATAATTTAAAATAAATTTTTTAAAATGTTGAAACTTTTCATTAACATGTTGCAATTTGTGGGGATTCCCCATTTAGGCCAAGGCCCTAGATCTGTATTGCATCGTCGTCGGCGAGTTTAGGCCTTGAAATACCGACAATTCTTGCTGTTTATTGTTCATTATCATCTTTAAAAAAGTTGAAATTAATTTTTGGTGAAAATTTAGTGATTTATAATGACCAAAATCTCCTTTGTGAAACTGATTCGAGATTTACGATGATCAGATAGTATTCTACCGATATTTTTTGAAACATAGAACATGTGACTTGAAAATTATTCGCGGCATAAACTTTTTAGCGAATCTGGACCATTCGCGAAATTTGCAAAAGTTTAAATGCGCGCAAAATTTTCTGGTTTTACAGTAATCTGAAACCTAGTTTTTGACCGAAAATAGAAAGTGTGTTGTGAATGGAGATTCCCAAAATCTGTTCGTGGAGTGCAGTGTGAGCGGTCATGCATGTCTGGTCTGGCCTGATCGCACATAACAACATGTTTATATACACACAGTCATGATCGATTTTATGTTATATTTTGTTTTATCCAAGTTTATATTGTTTTGAAACAAATTTAATTTTAATTATATCAATAATGTAATATATGTGTAATCATATTTTGATGAAATAAAAGTGGGAGGACCATAAGAAAGAGAGAAAAAAAACTATTTTCAATAGTGGGTAGGAATTACGGTGAAAAAAAAAAGCCACAAAATTGTGATTACTTCCGAATATTACCTAATGTATCCTGTATTATCACTGGATTTATGCAGAAGTGGTGGGGAAGTGGTGTCGAGATTTTACGTAAGTGACGGCTGAAATGTAAATAGCACACTGTAACACCATAACCACAATACCTGGCCTACTGTGTAAGCCATGACCCAGTAATTGATGATATTCTAAGTTGGCTGTATGAATGAAATGAAAAGAAAAAATAGTTTCTGTGTGGCTTTCATCCTTAGTTTTGAACCATTCGTGATGTTGAGGAAGTATTAAACAGTAGTTTTAAAAGTAGTAAAACTTTATATTCACGAAGCACAAATCAACAATACAATGCTGTTTTTCATTATGGCTGTGAGATACCTTATTTACGATTAATATCAACTACACATTACGGTACAGTACTGTACATCATAAGAAAGCAAAAGTTAAATGCGGAAATTAAATAATATATACAAAACAAGCCAGAAAATGCTTCAACGGTTTTAGATGAATCTTTGCTGGTGAAATTGGTTTTGGTTGAAACCATTATACAGCAGTAGGCAGGCTCAATGAATTTGCCCACACACTACAGTATGCAGTGACAATCTGAATACAGTAGATCATTGTTAAATTGAATAAGTTGCATGAAACATTGGCTGTATTCGACTGGTCGTTCTTCATTAAACAGATGCCTGTTCAGTGGTAAAATCCTACTTAACAAAGACGACAAGACGAATAGAAAACTGGCATTTACCCGACAAAAAAATATGGCTGAAAGATCCACTGATTAATCTCAGATAAGATAGTATAATACATACAGTACTCCAAGTATCAAAATGCATGCCATCGTGTCGGGATTTAATATTTTGACATTTAATTATGTCATCAGGAATGAGTCCAATGAATGATTCCTGATGATGACATAATTAATGTTGAAATATTGAATCGCAACATAATGGCGTGCATTTCGGTACTTGGAGTATGTATTAATATACTGTACTGTACTGTCAATATGGCTGCGTACAGTAGTTGCAGTACCATGATACACGCCAGCCTAATCAAGTTTGCTTGGGCTTGTGGCAGTATGGTTTTTTTTTTGTAGAAATGTAAAAAAAAAAATTGTTCATACAGTTTTTGAATTCTGTTACTGTAGCCTACAGTACAGTACAATTATTTGTGGACTATATGTGGGTAAATATTATAATTATTATTACTGTAACTTAATCTAAATTATATTAACGCAAATGTTGTTGCTGAACTAACCAATCGGCCATGTTTGTTTTGGTCACATGGATAACTTAGTGCAAATTAACGCACTCTTCTTTATGTTATTTTCCTTTGACAATGAAGTCCATTTTACAAACCCGTCGAAAAACAACAAAACAAATCAGTCAAATACGGCCATTGTTGCAGTTCCATGGAATCACACCAGGTGCTCGCGAAGTGTGCATCATGCTTTAATGTACAGACGAGAGCCCCTATTGATCAGCTCACTGGCTTGCATTTTAGCTGCAAAGTTTATCCAGGCTGTTCAATATGATAAATTGATAAACATATAAAAAATATGATAACTCAATAAATAGGGATCTTAGTAAACTTTAGCAGTAGAATTTTTTTTAATTTTTTTTTTTTTTATTATTTTATTTTAGTTTACTGTAGATTGTATAGTGAACCTGCCTTTTGCCAATAATGATGATTTCGAATAAAAAAAATAAAGTTTTATTTTTGGACAAAGATAGCATCCCCGCCACCATGAAAAACTATGGAAATTTCAGAAAAAATTAAAAGTTTTCCTTTATTTTTATTATGCTCACTTCTACCTTGAAATCCAAAAATAAGATGTATATTTCTTCCTAATTATATAAATTTTAAGCATTCAACAATCCCATTATTACACTGTCTACTGTGCATTGACCACAAAATTTTATTTTTATTATCTCCTCCATCTGAATTTTTTTGGCAAAAACATTTGCTAAACATGAAAATAAAATTTTATTTTTATTTTTTTTCGCCCTCCTGACAATCTTTCAAGAAATAAGTTCGCGAAACAAGAAATGAAAAAGTCTTGCCATACTGTGTACATTCATAGATAAGGCAAGAAAATGTTATACCTTTTTTAGCGAAACCCATCGCTCGCCAATAATCATGATTTCAAATAAAAATAATAATTTTTTTTTTATTGGAAGTACTTCAGACTGCCAAATATCCACTAAAAAAAAAATAGTTCAATAGGATGAATTTGTCTGCAGTAATTAAAAAATCTTCATTTCCTCAAGAATTGGAAGTGTTTTTCAAAGAAAGGGTGCTATAAGTTCAATGACCAAGTTGTCACCTTGCGATTCCTACTGATCTTTCTTTCTCCAAAATATAGGAATTCTAGTATTTAGGCATTACTGTATGGTACATGCTGTACAGTACAGTATAACCAGAGAATTAATGATTCAAAGGGAACAGTGTAGACAGCAGTTAATGATGAAATGTACAGTATTTACATCAGGGTTGGGCATAAAAATCCGTCAGAGGGCCAAGGTGAGTTTTCGATTTAACCCAGAGGGCCACACTCAAACTCGATGTTTCCAGTGACCTTCCACAAAAACTTCCAAGAACTGCCTTTAGACCACTTTATTTTAAAAGTTTTAATGTTACTTTTTACATACAGTATGATCAGTGTCGGGCTGTGTTTTCTAACCAATGTTG